GATGATAGTAATAATGATGAGACAGATGATAGTGATAATGAAAAAGTTGACAGCCAATCTAAAGAATCATCTGCCAGCGGAAAAGAAAATTCAAGTGATTCATCTGATTCATCTGATTCTGATAGTTCTTCTGATAGTTCTTCTGATAGTTCCTCTGATAGTTCTCCTGATAGTTCTTCTGATAGTGAAAGTAAAGATGGTAGAGGCGATGTTGGTAAAGGCAATCCTGGTAAAGATGATGACGACAGTGATGGCTCAACTTCATCCTCAAATACTAGTGATGAAAATGATGACGATGATCATGAAAAGGGAGATAATGAAAAGGGAGATAATGAAAAGGGAGATAATGAAAAGGGAGATAATGAAAAGGGAGATAATGAAAAGAGAGATAATGAAAAGGGAGATGATGAAAAGGGAGATGATGATGATGATGATGATGATGATGATGATGATGATGATGATGATGATGATGATGATGACGACGACGACGACGACGATGATGAAGATGACGATGATGAAAAAGAAGACGATGATGACGATGATGACGATGATGACGATGATGACAAACAATACACTGATGATCTTGATCATTTAGCAAAAAGTCTACAGACTTTATGTCCATCATTTTATAATAATGGCAAAAAAAGAAAGAAATAAGGGACAGAATTTTGATTTTTTGATATTATAATAATTGCATAATAAATGTATAAAAATATTTATCCCATAAACTGTAATCACATGTTACAAGCTTCTGCAGCATATACAGTTTATGGGATAAAGTTCATCGCAAATAATTTCCTTAACCCGATCTTTCTTATAACTTCCCAGCCAGATACATCATTACCCTGATTGATCATAATGATATTATTATTATATAATGAAAAATTTAATTTGCTGTTGTTATTAATACAAGAATGCCTATTTACTATCATATTAATAACTTATTTCGAAAAATTGAAAAATAAAAATTGCATTATTTAATCAAACTTTAGCAATTGATTCATCATGTTTTCTATTTTAAAACTTTAAACCTTGTCTCGTGTACTATTTAAAGGTTATTCTACGTACCAATATTAATATTGACTAATCTATATTACTAAAGCACATTTTCTATTATTAATATTGTGTGCGTTTACTATTACGCGTAGTTAACTTCAAAGTTCAAAAATATCAAGTTAACACAACTCGTGCGTGTGTGAAAAAGTTGCTCTACATGCCTATGCTTCAAACACGAGTATTAAAGACAATTTGGTTTTATGAAATGTGGTTTGTAAAACTTTTTGCATTTTTATAATGCAAATTTATAAATAATTAGCTTTATACAACCAAACCTCGTTTCAATGAGTCTGGTTAGTAATCGAGTTTCAACGAATTTTTATAAGCGCAGTAATACTTTAAACATCCGTTGATTTATGCAAAGCAAAATCCCAATCGTTCGTTTATCCTATAATTACCAGAAGTTCTGCTCTGCGTTTGATTCCAATTATAATATTTATAATTAAAAATGTTCATAAGAATGCCAATAATTAATATCAATCATCCAATTAAATTAAATGTAATACAGTAAACCTTATTTTATTTTTCGCGGCTTGATTTTTTTTAAATATGAGGACTAAAAACACCAGAGGACGAAAGCCAAGGCCTACTACTGTAGCTCCTATTAATAAAATAAACTTCTCAATAAAAAGAGCCCCACACATAATTGTTAGTGATGATGAATCACCTAACAAAAGAATACGAAACGAGTTGAATAATAATAATATTGATGATGATAGTGATACTGATGCGTCGACGAATGGTAAATAATAATACTATACGTGTTGTGTTAATAAATCAACCATATTTACAGTTATATATATTTATTATTAATATTTATTTAGAGAATTATAAAATGCTATTGGAAAATTACAACAGGCTTGTTAATAATTATAATGATCTAAAAAATGACAACAATAATCTAAGTAATAAAATTGAAAATATGTCAATAGTAATGAATAATTTGTTAGAAGAAATGAAAAGTATTAATAGGAATAATAGTAGTAATGAATATCAAGTTACGGAGAATATTAAGGTAAAAAGATATTTATTGGAGAATGATACTTAATTAACTTTAATTAACTTAATTTTTATTATTATTATTAATATTATAATCAAAAGAGAATAATCAAAGATGCATATCGACGAGACTTGTTTGTCAAAGAGAAATATCCTCAAGATGTAGTTATTGAAAAATTCACTCGTCAAACATTAATGAACAATTTTCCAGATGACGAAAGATACAGTGAAAGAGAGAAGTGGGATGTTGTGTGGTTTACTCTTAGAGGACCTTCTTTAGAATTGTTTAGAATAATTAGAGGGAACGCTGTGAGAAGAATTAAAACTACATTATTTCAAAAATTTAAGAAGTTGGAGGCGATAAACAATGACGCGTCTATGAATCAAATATTGGAGTGGAAAAACAAAAAACCAACAAGAGATGTTCTCTTATTATTAAATGAAATTGAGGAAGATGAAGATCGAACTTATTTAGAAGTCATTACACGACTTGCATTTTCTCATGATAAAGGTAAAGTGAATGGTACTAACAAGAGTTTTGTCTGGGCAATTATAAATGGCTTCATAAGTGCAGATAATGACTCATTGCATCTTGATGAGACTGTAATTATTCCATTAATGGAGAAATATCAAGTAAATTATCATTTATTATAATAAAATTAATTAATTAATAATAAATAAATAAATTAATTCATACATAAATCATTCATTCATCCATTTTAGAGAGAGGTAGATGGTGATAGTCATAATATTGATGTTAAATTAGAATTTTAAGAGATCTGGTTGGTTCTTGTAGATTTATTTGGCACAATTTTTTTAAAAAGTATCATTTTGTGGAATTTTTCTTTTTCTTATAGCAATGGAAATTATTTTTATAGAAACACAACCTTGTTTCTAGTTATTTTATTATTAAAACAAGGATTAAACAAATTATAAATTTTATTGATAATCTTAAGCTATATTTTCTATTATAAATGATAAATGATGAAAATTTGATTGATTTATTCATTACTTTAAAAAGTGATCCCAGATAATCTTTTTATTTGTCTTCTAATTAATCCCTCCCATGCCACGATTTGAACGTTTATTTAATTTAAATCAATTTACTCGATAATGTTTTTAGATAAAATTTACTGATTAATAGGAAGTACACTTGTAAAGAAAGACCTCTCTTTTATTTATTCCTTGTTAAGCCCGAAGAAATGATTTTTTCTTGGCATGTTTAATAAGAATAAACGTCACGTAAAAAGTTTTGATCGTATGTCACGTGTAATGAACTTTATTGCGTCTCGCTTTAACAACTATTATATATAGATAAAAAAGATAAAGATATTATTAATTATTCATTGCAATCAAAATTTTCTCCTTTTGGTTTTGTTCTGATTCTTCTCAAAGAATCCAGTTTATTTAAGGTTAGCAAGCAACCTTTTTCATCAGGAGAAAAATTATAAATGAATTATGCTATACAAATTAAATGAAATTTAATATTAATATGGACATTTTGATGTTCATATTACCTCTCATTGTTTAAAACCTGTTAAAAACTTGTTTAAAAAAATTTTTTTATACAAAAATTTTTTTCGTTAGATAATAAAATTATGACAACAGAAAGTGAGAGTAGCGGTGGTATCGTTAGAATAATTAAAGATTTAGCCAGTGGAACTGTCGGAGGAATTTGCCAAGTGTTAGTTGGGCAGGTAGATTTACAGCTTCACTTTTTCTTGGATTCATTTATTATTGTTATTTTTATTTATATAATTATTATAATTATGATTATTTTTGATTTAAAAAGCCATTCGACACAGTTAAAGTGGTAGGTTAATAAGTATGAGAGAAATGTGAGAAGGGCAAAAGAAATTGAAGAATCCCATTCAACTTCACAATTCTCATAAATCTTGGTAAAAAAAATCATGCATGCGTACATTCCTACATGCAATCATACACACACACATATCCATTAACGCGTGCAATTAACATCTATTATAAAGAGACTCCAAACGCAACCAACACCAAAACTTGGTGAACAACCAAGGTTTACTGGAATGTTGGATTGTGTTCAAAAAACCAAGAAAAATGAAGGATTTAGAGCTTTTTACAAGGTGAGATAAAAGAAACCTTTTACACTCTTTTTCACACCCACACACAAGAAGATTATTACTTATTTTTAACAGATCAATCAATAATTAGGGAACTACAACTCCATTGGTTGGTGTTGGTGCATGTGTTTCCATTCAATTTGGGGCATTGGAATTTATGAAAAGGTTCTTTAACGAAAGGAATGGATACACTGGTGGTTTAACTAGCCCTCAATTATATTTAGCTGGTGCCATCGCAGGAATTGCTAATTCTGTGGTGTCTGGTAAACTTTGTTTATTTGCATGTTTCTTTTTAATTGATGAATTGATTGATCGAGTGTGATTAATCTAAATCTGGTTTAATGAATTTTTTTATAAAGGTCCTGTTGAACATATTCGTACACGTAAGCTTTATCATTCCTTCTTCATCTTTTCTTTTTTCCACTATAAAGTAGTAATGTTAATTCATAAAAGTCTATTATTTACTCAAAAATAGGACTTCAGGTTCAAATCACATCCACCACTGATATTAAACCATCATCAAAAGCAGTTTCAACAAAAATATACTCTGGGCCAATTGATTGCATTAGGCAGATATATTCTTCATATGGCATGAAGGGAATATATAAAGGACAAACCATAACAATGATTCGAGAATTTCAAGGTTATGGTGCGTACTTTCTTGTTTACGAATATCTTTTTCAAAAAGCAATGTCAAGAGAGCAAAAGAAACGCAGCGAGATTGAAAGTTGGAAATCGTGTTTATATGGCGCGGCAGCAGGTTTGCATCATGATTGGTTGTTGTAATAGAAATGTTCATTAATAATTTAACAAATATCAATATTATTATTTAGGATATGGAATGTGGTTGTCAGTTTACCCAGTGGATGTGATTAAAAGTAAAATACAAACTGACGGATTTAGTGGAGAGGAAAGACAATATAAAGGAATAATAGATTGCGCCAGAAAAACTTTTCGCAAAGAAGGAATCAATGGATTCTTCAAGGGTTTTGGTACTTGTATTCTACGTGCTGGTCCTGTTAATGCATCTACTTTTGTGGCATTCGAAATGGCAATGAGAGTCTTTGATAAATTATAAAACTTATTATGTGTGTATATATATATGTGTGTGTATATTTACATATAATAAAATTATTATTATTATAATAAATAAACTTTGTATTTCCAGTCGACTGCTTAAAATAAAATCATAATGATAGATTGCAAATAATAATATACAAACAAATTAAGATTAACATATAACAACAGCAAGATTCAGAAATAGTGTACATCATTTTAAAACAAAATCATCATAAAATTCGTCATCATCTATAATTTCATCAATAATATTATCATAATCGTAGTCATATTCATCATCGTACCCATAATCGTACTCATCACCGTAATGATAATCATAATCGTCGTCACTATAATCAAAGAATATTTCATCATCTGGTACATCAACAAACTCGTACCAGTTTTCCTTCCATGGTATTCCTGTCAACTCACGATTTGAAAGAATATCAAAATCTTCATACAATAAAGTGCTATCGGTTCTAATGTTGACAACTCCCACCTTTTTTTTGGCTCGTTTCATCACACCATCAGAAATATTTATTTCAGATGCCAGGATTTTCAACGTCTTTAGCGTATTACCCTGACGCTTCATTACAACGTTGATATGTTTGTCACTTATACACGGTAATTTTTCAATGAACAAATATTCCAATCCTGCTTCACATTTTGCGAAGAACCTCTCCAAATTTTCAAGTTCACTACTCCACTTTGTGCTAATTATCAAAGATTTTAGACTAACTGGTATGCTGGCTCCAATAAGTGAAAGCGAATCGTCAGTATACTCAAAAGATCCAGTTATACTTAATTTTTTGAGCCTTGTACACGATTCCAATAAACGAAGAAAACAATCTAATAAAGGATTTGTAAATGTTATCGAAAATTCCTCCAAGTTGTTTGAGCATTTTTCAGTAATATTACGGACGACTTGTAAGCAAGAATCTGTTTGAGTATGATCACATTGTAAAGCTCCTAAATATAATTTTTTTAACATCTGACCGTACTTGTCAATCAATATATTCATGGATGAAGGTGGTGGACGTGTATGCCTGAAATCAAGTTCTGTTAGTTTTGGAAGCTGTTTGACATGTAACTGTTCCAATAACTCTTCATCCACATTTTCACAGCCATTAAATGCCAAGTGCTGTAAATTTTCCAAATCTGTTATTCCTTCTAACTCATCCATTTTATCAGATATAAACGTAGCATAATGGAAAACCAAATAAGTTAAAGTTTGCGAATGTTTCCCTAAAGCAGAAACAATAGAATTGTCATACACATTAAAATTATGAAATTCAAGCTTTCGTAATGCCTTTTGGTTAGTGATCAACGTAATCAGTTCTTTTATTTCTTCTTGATCAGAATTATTTACATAATCTATATCTGGACCCTCGACTATTAGTACTTCGATTCTACGACAAGTTTTGGCCATCTCTTTATAAATATTATCTTTTTGAAATTTACCATAACAGCAAAATTCTCTAATCAGCGAAAACGGACTGTTGTTGTTAACCTTGCGACAAAATATTGGTGCTAAAGGTATCATCTGACCTGTTTCAATTGATAAATTAAGAAAAGCAGACGATCTATTCATAAATAATTTACATAAGACATTTGTAACCAGTAGCCAGTCATCAACCGAGAATCTACCGTTCGACCAATGTTCAACAGAGTTGTAAATGTCCAAGTAGTTGAGGGATCTTAAATATTTAGGATAATTAAAAGTAGCTGATTTTTTCTTGAAGAAATGCTTGTTGTATTTTTTAAAAAATTTTCCTTCCTTAACACTAAGTTCCTCCTCATTTATACATGATAAATATGTTTCAACTAACTTTGCAGATCTGTCTAATCTTGTTAGAAGAAAAGGTTTACTCCACAACTTTTCTACTATAGTAATACACCATAATTTGTTTATTAATAAACATGAATGTAAAGAAGCTTTATTATCGCCAAGAAAATTTACTACAGCATGTATACAATCTGAAGGTAAGAAGTTTGTCATTATTATTATTATTATTTATTAAAATAGTTTTTAACATTTGTATTACCAAGAATTTCAGGGTTTGTTTAACATCCTTTTATGAAATATACAGAACCTTTCTGTATATAGGAATTTCCTTATTATATTATGCAAAATTTCTTACTATTGCTATTACGTTAACCCGGTAATCCGTTAATTACCGAATAAGGTCTTAGTACTATATCATGCTATAATAATTATGATCTAAATCAAATTTAAATGAAATAAAATCTTTAGAGAAAAAAGGAGAGACAGTTGGGAAGACCAGGTGAAAAAACTACAAGATGCGTTAGTAGAATTTGGTAAAGGGCAAGGTAATAAACAAATTGCATAAAAAAATAATTTTCTATTCATTCCATTGCATTTATTTATTTGGCATATGGGGCATGCTGCAACAAAACCAGACAAAGTGAACATTTATATTACCAAGAATTTCAGGGATCAAAATTGTTTCTAGTATCATAATTGTTCTAATGTGATCAGTTTTATAATATCCCATTTTCTATCTTGAGTGATATATAGAACTGATCCCATATAAAAATAATAAAAATTTGCTTAGAATTATATTTGTTGTTATTTTTTTTTTGTATGTTAAAAAGGTGGTGGTGATTATTAACATGTTGCTTGCTACTCTACTCTATTTATATAGATAAAAAATAGACATAACTTAGCTTTTTTGTTGTTATTAATACTTGTACATGAATACCTGATTATTCAATACATTTTATGTTGTAATTGACATAACAAATAATTGC